GAAAATTCCAAGCCACTGTGGAGACCAAAAAGCGCATTACTGTAGCCACATTTTATGTCACAGAAGGGAACTCTGGTTCACTATTAGGTTCAGAGACATCCCAAGAACTTGGTCTTGTTACATTTCATATCAATCCAATGGTTTCAAAAGTGAAAGATAAAAATGTGAAACCACAAATTGCTTCCACCTGCTCATGGATTCCTATCAGATCTACCCATGATAAATCAGTTGATGCTGCTTTACTTGCAAATAAAGAAATTTTTAGAGGAATAGGAAAGTTAGATGGAGTTCAAATTAAATTAAACATTGATGAAAATGTAACTCCAGTTGTTCAAAATACCAGACGCATACCATTCCACATCAGAAAGCAAGTAGAAGAAGAATTGCTAAGTCTGGAAGCACAAGGAATAATAGAGAGAGTGCCAGAGGGGCAAGCAACCCCTTGGATATCCCAGATAGTTGCAGTACCAAAGAAGGACAATAAGTCAATTCGGATTTGTGTTGATATGCGTTCAGCAAACACAGCCATAAAAAGAGTTAGGCATGTCATGCCCACAGTTGACGAAATTATGGTACAATTAAATGGAGCCAAATTCTTTTCAAAGATTGACCTTAGCCAAGCATACCATCAATTAGAATTGCACAAAGATAGCAGATATATCACTACATTCAGCACGCACATTGGTTTATTCCAATACAAAAGATTGAACTATGGCACGAATGCAGCTGCTGAGTTATTTCAACATACATTACAAGAAGCTTTAAAGGGTATAGATAATGTCAGAAACTTAGCAGATGATATTATCATTTTTGGCAAAACCAGAGCAGAGCATGATAAAGCATTGAATGAATGTCTTGCAAGATTAAAGGCAAGAAAGCTCACAATAAACAGAGAAAAATGTAAATTTTTACAACCAGAACTTTCATTCTTTGGTATGGTATTTTCAGACGATGGTGTCAAGCCAGATCAAAAGAAGATTGCAGATTTAGTAGATGCTCCTATACCAAACAATGCATCAGAAGTGAGAAGTTTATTAGGAATGGCAAATTTCAGTGCAAAGTTCATACCAAATTTTGCAGATATAACAGAACCACTGAGAAAATTAACTCACAAAAACATTGTATTCAAATGGGAGAAGGAACACTCACAAGCATTTAAGAAACTCAAAGATGTTCTGACAGACAGTCCAGTTATGACATATTTTGATATTGACAAAGAAACATACCTGATTGTAGATGCCAGTCCCATTGGTATTTCTGCAATTCTTGCACAATCAAACAAAGATGAGCCTCAAAAAGTGATTGCATATGCCAGTAGAGCACTTACCCCTGTGGAGCGTCGATACTCACAAACTGAGAAAGAAGCACTTAGTATTGTGTGGGGTACTGAGCATTTTCATATGTATCTTTATGGAAAAAGTTTCAACCTGATAACAGATCACAAGCCTTTGGAGGTGATTTATGGGAACCCTAAATCAAAACCATCATTACGCATTGAAAGATGGGTGCTCCGCTTACAGCAATATTGTTTCAAAGTTATTTACAAGCCTGGAAAAGATAATCCGGCTGACTTCATGTCAAGACATCCTACAACAGTCAGTGTCAAAGAAAACATGGCAGATGAGTATGTGAGATATATAACGATAAATGCGATACCAAAAGCCATGACCATAGAAGAAGTACAAAGAGAGACAGAAAGGGATGGGACACTCCAAGCAGTCATAAAAGCAATTAAAACAGGAGATTGGAGTAACCAGTTTTTAGTACCTTACAAGTTAGCCAAAGATTCATTGACAATAAATCATGCAAATGGAATTATTTTGCGGGGAAACCAAATTGTCATGCCTAAATCACTATGGAAAAGATCAGTAAAACTAGCTCACGAGGGTCACCAGGGCCTTGCTAAGACTAAAGCCCTGATCAGAGAAAAAGTTTGGTTTCCATTTATTGAAAAATTGGTAACAGAAGAGATTAATAGCTGTTTACCTTGTCAAGCAGTGGGAACACAAAAAGCACCAGAACCATTGCGAATGAGACCTATGCCATCTGGACCTTGGAAAAAACTGCATATTGACTTTTATGGACCACTTCCAAGTAGTGAGTATGTACTTGTTATTGTAGATGCTTATTCTAGATTCCCCATAACAGAAATTGTAAAATCTACTGCTGCTTCAACCATTATTCCAAAATTAGATCAAGTTTTTGCAATGCATGGACTTCCTGAAGAAATAGTAACAGACAATGGTCCACCATTTAATGGTGATGATTTTAAAAGATACTTGATGACTCTAGGAATAAAGTTTGACCCTTCTACACCATTATGGCCCCAAGGGAACTCAGAGGTAGAGAGATTTAACCAACCTCTAGGAAAAGCAATTAGAGCTGCATGTATAGAAAATAGAAATTGGAGACAAGAACTTCAAAGATTTTTATTGAGTTATAGATCCACCCCACATGCAACCACAAAGATTGCACCTTCAGAACTGTTATACAATAGGGTCATTAGAGGGAAACTACCTTGTTTAATCAAGACAAGTAAATCTAAAAGACACAGAGAAGCTCAGGAAAATGATGCAGTAGGGAAAGAGAAGATGAAAAGCTATGCAGACAAAAGAAGACACACAAAGATTTCTGATATCAAAGTTGGTGATACAGTTTTGTTAAAACAAGATAAAAAGAACAAGTTTTCTGCAAACTTTGAAAGCACTACTTACAAAGTTATATATCGTAAAGGTTCCAGAGTAACAGCAGAAAGACAAGATGGAAGGAAAGTCACTAGAAATATTAGCTTTTTCAAAATGTTTAGTAAGAAAGATGATGATGATGATGATTTGTCTGATGATGACAATCACAAAAGAACAGAAACAGTCGAAGAGAACAACAGAGAAAACAGATATCCTCTTAGACAAAGGCGAATGCCTGAAAGATATGGAACAGTTGTAGCAACAGACTAGGAGGAGAATTTATTTTATTTCTTTATTTTTATTTTTAAATACTATGCAAAGAGAACAGGACTCAAAGAACAAACACGTTATGTTATGTTTATGTTGTCAAAAAAAAGGGGGAATGATGTAATGTTTTATGATTATAATTATTATCACATATGTAAGACCCAGGCCCCCCGGAATCTAAGTTAGAGTTGATACACGAGGCAGACAACAAAATGGTGTACTATCTGCGTTCACTCTTCAATATCCGACATATTATACTGTAACATCCCTGTTTCAATGCGATACATAAAGCCCCGGCAAAACGACTGGACATTTGCACTGGTCACACACTGGACATTGCTCACTTGTTCAGAGTATGAATATCAAGAAAATATTGGTGGTGGCAAAACGACTGAGCATTGTCCAGTGAACTTTTTCCCTGTTGAAGAATGCGGGTGGGAAAACTGGCAACAGGGCATCTCTTTACCTTTGAAAATACTTTTTCATAGCCCTAAACGTGTTATCGTATGAATTAGAGTGTACTATTGAAAAGTGGCTAGGACTGCTAGGTTCATCAAAATCACTGTCCTCGTGCTATCTGACATCGCTTTCCTTATCGGAACTAAAGCTAATCTGATCAGAAGACTCGTCGTTACTAATGAAATGCCTTTATTTGCTATTGGTCGAATTGAATTTCACGTTGTTTCCATTTCGTTCGCGGTGTTGACTAGGAAAGTGTGTTGAAGATTTGAAAATGGGAAATAAATTGATGCCAAATCCAAACCATTAATCGATTGCGCGTGCGCGAACTGGACAATGTTCAGTAGAGTGGCAAAACGACTGAACAATTTCTGTACAACATCAGTGAACAAAAGAAATTTAATCCTGTCCACTGAACATTTTTGGCTGCCTTCAAAATCGACTGAACAAATTTAACATCGCTGAACAAGACTGGACAAGGTGGCAAAACGACGCAACATTTACGCTGGCAAGATTTTAACCTGCCCCGATGTCTTTTTACTTAGCTTTTGCTTGAAGCTGGTCACGTTTTTGCCTAAGCACAAGCTATTGCCAAATGTTATAAATTTAAAAGTCCAAAAATTAGAGTTCACTAAGCGATTTGCTCTGTGATGTGAAGTAATGAAGAGGACATACGTAGAACAAGGGAAAAGCAAGAAGACTTCAGCCAAAGGTTGTGCACAGAAATTTCGTGAGGAAAAGCTGCGAGACTTGAAAAAGAATTCAGCTACGATACAAAGCTTTTTTTATCAAGCAAAAGCCACAAACGTCACACAAAAACAGCAGGGTCTTGCTTTTTTCAATAAACTCATATAAGTTATGGTAAGTTTATTAGGCATATACTATCATAAGTCAAATGGCCCCCTGCCCAACACGATATGGTGCTACACGATAAAATTTCAACAGGGGTGCCCATGTTTTCTTTTAGGGGTCAGAAATTGACACTGAAAATCATTGTGAAAATATTTTTGGGCTGCTGAAAATCATTGTGGTTTTCCGGAGGATTAGAAAATTATTTGTCACAAGTTGAGTGTGATAAAAGCTTTTCCACTTTAAATATATAAAAAACAGATTACGTGGTAATTTTTCGCAGCAAAACCTTCATGTTAATGTTCTTAAAAAAACACCTCTTAGATGACATCTAGAACGATCACATTATCAACATACAAGTTACTGTATTTAGAAAGAAAATCAAACCAACGAGTTAAAATTTTTGTTTATTTACTATTTAGTCAGCAAATGACATATTTAGCATGTTCTGTTAACCAGCATTCATCAATGCACACAATTACTGAATTTAAAAACTTGTTTTCCTTACAGACTAACATTTACTTGCATTTTCCGAGGAGTTTTTTAATTGCTATTTTTGTGGGCCGGTTTGATCAAAATTTGCCCGGGCCAAAAAAATTAGCCAGTCCGCCCCTGTCAAAGGC